AAATTCAGCTTCACTAAATGCAATAATTTGTCCCATTCCTATTCATGCAATGGTCAATACAACTGATAGCAGCAGATGCCCATAGACGGATTGTATCTGGAATGTAAACCAAGGTTATTTGTGTCAATTTTCTTATTTATTCAAAGAAATTATTACACAGAGAGATAGATATATAAATATCGTATTCAAATATTTAATTATTGCTAAGAAATTTACTTAATCAGCATGATTATCTGGAAAATTTAAAATTATTTTAAAAAACTGATAATTGTTCACATAGTACTTAGTTCACCTACCATACAATAATTTATTTGACAGAACTGCTTTTCTTATGTTACCCCATTTCCATCAAGAATAAACTTTTATGTCATACATTTTAACTACTGCCTTTAAGATCCCATTTTCAAAGAGATATCTTAGATAACTTGAGCTCAGATCCCAAAACTCTATAAATATTCTAACTTGATAGTTTTCTTCTGAAACACTATTAAGACATAGTGTTCTCTTTTGTACAAGCAATACTTTTTGAATTCATTTATATTTACTTTCCAAAACTTGGTCCAAAACCTGTAACTTGTAGTTCACTGTCTTATTGTTCACAATAACTGTAATACTAGAGTAAATCTCCTATTGTGTTCAAGCCCTAATTTCTTTTCATTGAGCTCCCAAATGTTGACTTTATTTATGATTTATTAGAAAAGAACACTTTTTAAATTAACCTTTTCATACTCAAGTGGATTAGAAATCTTCCCATTGGTGAATATTTTATTTATTAATAGAATTACTCTGTCTTTCTCTTAGTTGTCACAAATAATTTCAGTGGGTATAAAAGAACTATTTCATGTGTAGTGGGCAGATACACTCCTAAGAAGCCTGTTACTGAGACTGTCCGAAGGACTAACATCAGAAGTTCTCCACAATACCCCAACCTTAAAGGATATATTTTACTTTGAATGACCTCCTACCAGCCTTCTGGAAATTTGCCTCAGTATTTTCTCTTTTTACCAGGAGAGTCTTGTGTAAGAGAAA